AGGAGGAGGAAGGAGGAGGATAAGGAGAAACAGTGATTATTGGAGGAGGCGGAGGAGGAGGAGGAGGATCTTTACCTTTACCTTTACCGATTGTGCGTGGTGACTGGCAGCAGGGCTAGGCACGCGCAGCAAAGTTACAGATCAGGGAGCCTCGCTCCAGATTTCGGAGGCTTCCTTTTTTCAGGTTCCCGAGGGCTTCTTTCCCAGCTTTCGTGGGTGGGCCGCAAGGGTCTTTCAAACCTAGTGGTAAAAGAACACAATGCCGACCACAAGCTTCACAAAACAAAACTCCCCGAAGAGAGGCAAGTTCGTGAGAAGGGTGGCACAGCTCAGCAACAGGATGATCGAGACCCCCACCCACTCCGCCCTCAGGAGGCCCCGAGTCATCAGGAGGGCCCTCATAACCTCGACGCGGGTCAGGTGCCTGCTGCGGAGGAAGGGCACTAATTCGCTGCAGAACTTCAGATCGAGGCTTACAGACAGTAGGCCAGAATTCGCACAGAGGGCTTCGCTTGCTGAAAGAACGGGCACAGAGGAAAAACTTCAACGTCGTAGACTTTACGACACAGTTGTGGCCAGAGTCCCGCAGCCTACAGAGCCTCTTGTCAAGGCTGCGCACGACTGCGTTGCGGGCTATTTTGGGGCTCACGGTCCGAGGAAAACAGCACCTCCCTCTGCACAGCGAGGAGGCGACCAAGAACCTTGGAAGCCCGCTCATCAGCCTGGACCGTAGTCCTGGCGTGGGGATCTGACACCTGGCCAGCATCAGCGGCCTTGCCCGCGAAAAGTTCAGCAGCCCGATTTAGAGAGACCTCGTCAGGGTCATCCACATCTGGAGAATTTGGGACTGGGTGGGGTGACCTTTAGTCCTTCGAACTTCAACGGTGCCGCCACGGGACCTCAAGGTCCTATGGTAGATTGCCCAGAGATCCAACATGGAGGATTTCGCTTTACGCTTGAGGGACTTCCTGACACCCCGAACCACAGCTAGACAGTCACAGTATACCTTGACATCACCAGTAGACCTTTCGAACAACTGGATGAGAGAAACGATCTCGGCACGGCGAGCGGCCTGGACCACGGTGGGCAAGGTCCCGCTGACAACTCCATCAATACATGAATCGGCACCTTGGTGGACGACCGCCCAGCCACAGCGCCTGAGTCTCCAGTCCAAGTGATGTTTACCCCCCGACCCATCGATCGCCCAAACCCCTCCGTGTATCTTAGCTCCGTTTCCCAACGCCCCCCATTCCCATCCTTTTTGCACAGGCGCAGGGAGGTGGCCACAACTGGCACTGAGAGGCGGCAGGCCACGGAGCCAGAAACTCACAAAGTCGGGATCGGCGACAGGATCAGCCCTCAAACTGTCCGATCGGCCGGACGCAGAGTCGGGAGTATGGTCATTGCATCTATATTGCCAGGACCGATGCAGCGCGGTCTCAGGAGCAAGGCCGCATCTAGGGCCGAGGCCTGAGGTGGCTGAGTCATAGCCTGCACATTTGAGTCGATCTTTAGTCCTTACGGACCATACCAGCGGCCTCAAATGAGCCATCCTTCTCGAGCTTCTTCAACAACTTACGAGAGACAGTGAAACCAACTCCTCCTTCCAAACCTGATCCTGCATAATGCTTGGAGGCCGTGCTCCAAGACAGCGCGGATCACAAAACAATCAGCTCCCGCCACAGCTGATGTGGAAACGCGTCGTCGCCGAGGTGCAGCCACACGTCGCCTGGGAAGCTCCAGCAGGCAGGGCTGTGGGGCACAACGCCTAAGTCGAGGAGCACGGCGATAGTACCAGCAAGGGGTCCACGCACCTTCTGCCACGGACGTTTCGTTTTGCTGAACACTTCTGCAATGCGATTCCAACACCGAGCAACTTACATACGTTGTATATGAGCCAAATCAAACCAAACCGAGTGGAACGCAATCAATTGCTCATAGCGAAGCCTAAACTGGGGGTCATCTTTGGCTGAGCTCACCATTCCCAGGACCGAGGTCGTGCAGGCCCCAGGGGTCCACCAACCCGAGCACGTGGCCGCTTGAGCCTTCGTGGATTGGACCTGCCCCCCAGTACGGCCTACGACCTGGTGGCTCCAGGAACCGACCGCCAGAACCCCAGATTTGTAGAGCTTCCTAGCCCTACCAACACCACGACTCAGACACGGCGACCTTCTTGGCCTTCTTGGAGGCTTGGCTACGCCGCTGCTCCAACTTAAGAGTGGGCCGTTTCTTACCAGCCGTCGTCATGACCCCCAGATCTCGCGCCGAGTCCTGGAGCTTGACAGGAAGGTCAACTGCTCTAAATTTCTCCGCAAGCTGCTGGCCAAGGCTGCTGTGGCTACGCACCATTGCAGACTTGGTCGAGATAGTGCACCCAAGTCTCTGAAGCTGGTGGGTGAGATGCACATCAGCAGGAGCGAGGGCGGCAATAACGTCATGTACAGTGCCACGTTGGGAGTGCGTGGTGTCATCAACGTATCTTTTCACATGCACTGGTTTGTACTGGACATGGGTACAATTCAGGGCATCGTGCACATAGATTTTCACGCAAGGCATTGCTTGCATACGGCCTGCTAAAATCCCACTCCCCCCTTCCATGATATCCGAAACATAACCGCCAACTTCAAGGATACGTGGGGCGTCGTGAATAATGATGCCTAAGTAGAGCACGTGCAAAGGCTACCCCATCTTAGCCGCACGCCCGATCAGCTTGTGCGGCTTCACAGAGTCGAACGATCGGGTCAGGTCCCAGTGCGCCCCAGCCGAGCACAGGCCGAGCATTCTGGCGACCTCGTGTCCTAGCTCTCGCAAGAGAGCAGCCTGGAGGGCACTAGATCCTCGTATGACAGTTTCCCAAAACTAATGCCCTTCCTGGCTCCATTTTTCCATATCGTGGTTACGAGCTTTGCAGTAAACTCGAACATGGGTGGGGCATTTGCAAATTGGCCTGTCACAGCCAATACTCTTAGGGAGGAGAGCAATCACACTCAGCAGGACCTGAGTAGGCCACATCACCTGTCGCTCGCACTGGTTGAGGATACGAGTGCACCCCGCACCAGCATCCCTGGGGAGGTCCAGGACACTACGGGGTGCCCAATGATCAACCCCAACAGCAGACTCAGCGGAGAAGCATCTGGCTCCCCCCAACACATCACTAGCGGTGAGCGGTTCAAGCTGCTCTGCAGCAAAGCTCAACGCAAGGGGCCTCAGGGTGTCCCAAACTACCGACAGGTTAGCTCGAGCGTCGGGGGAGTCCCAAACACGAGTCCGAAATCCAGAGCGATGCTGCATCATGTCTTCAGGCAGCTGTTTAACGCCAGCTGGGGAAACCAAAACCTGGGGGCGTTCCCTAAATCGTGTTTCAACCAAGCACACACTTTTTTGGGCACCCTTGGGAGGGGCCTTAAGGAGCCAATTTTTCATCCCAACTTTAGAGAACGCCCGTGCTGCTGACCGCGCAGCTCGCATGCAGGAAGAGATCGCGGCGGACAGGTCGTTAAGCATGGCTACCTCCGTGGGCGCCTCGCTCAACTGGGCCTGCCACCATTCGAGGCCATGGGGAAAATCACCCTGGAGATACTGGCCAATTTTATCAGTGATGCTTTGCAAGTGAGCGCCTATGCTGTTGATCATTCGTGTGGATTGCCTCGCCAAACTCATACGGTACTCCGACCATTTTTGGGACAGGTGGGCCCACAAGGCCAAGGCAGGTTCACGACAACTCTGGCCCTCGGGACCCCTCCGAGCAATGGTGGTCGTCTTGAAGGCAGGGAAGTCTCCACGATGAGCACAGCTACCTTTCAAGTCACAAGCGACCGCACGGGACTCAAACATGGCCTCGGCCGCCCTGGACCAGAGCAGGTATTTATTGGTAAGGTCGTCGTTCAGACGATCACTCAGGTGCGGCAGGAGAGCAGACTGCAACAAATGTGGTGCGACCGCCTGTCCTGGGTCAAGTAACTGTACCAAAATCTGGCTCCAGGGCAAGCCAGGACCACTGCAAACTGGAACAGGAAGAGATCGCAGGCGTTTCCACATGGTTTGTGGAAGAGCTTCTTGAAACGTTTGCCCTCTCTTGGCCTTGACTTGAGGCCCCTCCTTCTGTTTTCCTCCCTCTGTCAATTAAAGCTGTGCGCGGCCCGCTTAGCTTCGACCGGAAGAGGCTCGCTCTCGACCCGCGGATCAGAACGTAAGGTCTCCATGTTTCAGGGATACCGCGAGACATACATGGGTCTTGAAGGGGCTCGGGGCATAGGTAGATACTGCAACATGTTCTCCAAGATCAGCGGAGACTATCACATAGTCGATCAGGGTGCCACGCCCCTGGGTACAAGTCACTTCCACGTCAGTAGGTTCAAGCACACAGGCTCGCGCAAGTTGTGCGAAACCAGAGAGATTCAGATCAGCAGGTGGAAGGTTAAAGTCACCCATGAGCATCCAAGGAATGGCCAAGGTCCCCAAGAACCCCGCAACGGCCCGCATTCGTCCGATGTTTTCCCAGAAAAATCACAAGTCCGAGATGAGATACATCACTCCTACAGCAATCACACTCGATTTCGTTGATAATTTCAAAAAGTACCAATTCGGGCCCATGCCGAAATCTTTAAGGCCCGAGTCACATGCCAGAAACCTACTAAAGCAAAGTCCTTTCGACACCACTCCTCCCACTCCTCCATGGGTGCCCCCTCCAGGGGAAAGGGGGGCAGGAGTCAGATAGGGCCTCCAGTCCATCTGATATGCATTACGCTTAGCTTTGGCCAAGTCCTTTGGCCTCAGGTGATGTTCAGCAACAATAACCCGTCGCACAGCGGCTTGTTTTGCTGCAGGAGATCCAGCGTTACCAAGTTCCATGACGTGATGTTGCAGCACAGGGAATCGATACTGTCCAAGCTCTTCCAAACAACCTTGAACTTGCCATAGGTGCTAAACCTGCTGCTGTGCACCGGCTGGGCCAGACAAAGCAGTTGGGGCGGCACCTCCAGGAGGAGCCACGGGTACGCCAGCTGGAGCGTGGGCGGGTGCCACAGGAGGGGCGCCAGCGGGTGCGCCTGATGCAGCAGCAGGGTGTGGAACTCCAGCTCCAGGTTGTAGCTCTTGCAAGACCTTTTGAAGGATGTAGACGCGTATTCTCGGACCGACTCGAGTCGCTTGGCAGCCTTGATGGCAGACTGCCTCTGCATGAGCATCTCCATGCGGTCCAAGTCTTCAGTGCTGAGCACGGTCTCAATGCTGCGCTTCCGTAGAGTATCCAATTCTTGACGGTTGGTGTCCTCATTGGTAACGTCACTAGCACCATCAGACATACCATCATCATCAATCTGCAGCTTGAAGTCACCGTAGCCCAGAAAAAGTAGCGGGTGTTGTTGGCCGTGCACCAAGCCTGCAGCATCTGTTCGTCCATGTACTTCAGATTGGTAGGGATAGCTGGCATGGCCGCTGCAGCCGCCTGCGCAGGGTGCTGCACGTTCGGAGCAGCAGGCGCAGCGCGCGGGGCTGCTTGTCCAGGGCCAGGGCATGCAGGAACACGCCTAGGAACTGGAGCTTGGTCAGGTGCAGCCTGTTCAGGTGGTGCTTGAGCGCGAGCAGCGGCAGCAGCAGCTTCTCGTTGAGCCATTGCCGCAATCTCACGCCCAGCACGCTCATCAGCCATGATCAGGTTACGGTACTCGCCAGGATCGAAACTGTCCATCTCCTCATACGCAGCACGATGGGCCGCTGCGGCTTGCTCCAGCTGGCCCACTGCCTCTGCGTGGGCGGCCTCGGCTTTCGCTAGGGCCTCCTTATGGAGGACCACAGCCGCCAGGCGCTGCTCAACCTCGTGCAATGCCAGCCTCTCTGCCTTTGATTCTCTCTCCACAGCCAGAGCAAGGGCGGTGCGTTTCTTGGCGACCTTTTTCTCCAAGTCGTTGTTAGACGACGGAGTAGGAACCTCCACTTCAGGCTGACGATGCACCCCGCCAGCGACACGTAAAGCTTCAGCACGATCAGGGAAACAAGGGGCAACAAACCGCTAGAGCTCAGCAGCGAGTATATCTCCATCTCCTTTTCCTTTGCCTCTGTCACGGCCAGCGCCGTGAGGATCAGCAGCATCAGGCGCACCGCCTCCTTGATGCGGGAGGTAATCTGCATGGCACTTAGAGCAGTTGGGGTGGCCGTGGTACGCGTACTCCCAGTGCCCGCACTTGGAGCAGATTCTGTAGTCGTACACCTGCTCGGATTTGGAGCGACGTACACCGTTGCGAGGTTTGCGCCTGACCCAAGGAACATAGTAAGAGTACACCATTGCCCAGGAAGCTGCCAGGGCAAAGCGGGGTGCTCCACCAGGAGCTCACGTGTAGAAAATTCGTTGTAAGATGTGTGCACAGCAGTGCAAGCAGAAAAAGGTATTCCTCAGCGCAGGCCCTTGTGTCGCGGGCCGAGCCTGACACTGAGGAAGCTTGGCCTCTCTGCCACCTCGACAAGATGGCAACCTGATCCAAAATGGCTACGGGAAGGAGGAGGAGGAGGAGGAGGAGGAGGAGGAGGAGGGAGGAGGCGGAGGAGGAGGCGGAGGAGGCGGAGGAGGAGGAGGAGGAGGAGGAGGAGGCGGAGGCGGAGGCGGAGGAGGAGGGAGGCGGAGGAGGAGGAGGAGCGGAGGAGGAGGAGGAGGCGGAGGAGGAGAGGAGGAGGAGGAGGGGGAGGGAGGGAGGGAGGAGGGAGGGAGGGAGGGAGGGAGGGAGGGAGGGAGGGAGGAGGTGGAGGAGGGGAGGAGGAGGAGGAGGCGGAGGCGGAGGCGGAGGCGGAGGCGGAGGCGGAGGCGGAGGCGGAGGCGGAGGCGGAGGCGGAGGCGGAGGCGGAGGCGGCGGAGGCGGCGGAGGAGGAGGAGGAGGAGGAGGAGGAGGAGGAGGAGGAGGAGGGAGGAGGAGGACCTCCGCCCGTGCCGGCCGCCGCTCAGGCGGAGCCCGCCACGCCGCAGGCGTGGCCCTCGTTCGCGCGCCTCGGCTGGCTGGCGTCGGGCTCCCCGATGCGCCAGAAGTCGCAGGCGGCGGCCGCCAGTGGGCGGCGAGCGAGGGGGGGAAGTTCAGGGGAGGAAAGGGTACCCGTACCTCTATCCTTCCCTCGATTTCTCCTTTTTGGGCCTCCTGGGGGGCCCTCGTCGCCACCGCTGGATTCGCCTCGAAAGTCTGGTCAGAACGCCCCCCGGGAGAGGTCCGGGGAGTAGCCTTATGGGTACCTTTTGGTTTCCCCACAGTCGGCGGCGAGCGAGGGGGGGAAGTGAGGAAGAGAGTGCCTCCTCAGAAGGCTCGGAAGCCCCCCGCCTGCTGAGAAATTTCCAAGCCTTCCCCGAAGACAGAAACGAGCTTCTCAGAAGGCGCGAGGGCTTCTGAGAGGTCCCGCCGCCTTCTGAGAAGGCCTTCTCTTTCTCATTTCCCCCCCGCTCGCCGCCAAGCCAAGGGGGTTGTGTTTGTTTCCTCTCTCACCCAGTCGCTCCGCCCTCACCAGCCTCCACGTGTCGCCGCGGGCGTGGCGGTTGCATTCGTTTCTCCCCAGCTGGCTCTACGTGGAAACGCCCGAGCGCAATAGGGTAGACATACCGCTCGGGGGCGTCGTTGGTTAAGCAGTGGCGAAGTGTCCTGACTTGCCTGTGGGCCACCACATGGTGTCCTGAGAATCTTGCTTGTGGTCTGTCCGCAAGAAAAGAATTGTTCTGAGAGAGGATTTGTGGCCGAGGCAGCCTCGGTTGAACACATTATATTTCTTTTATAGGAGCTGTTCTCGTTCTTAGAGCATTCCCTGGTTTTCAGAACTATGCGAGCCTATGGGAATTCCAGGACGGTCGGTCCTTGCTCAAGTCAGGCGGAAGGGGGGCGATGGAAGGGTGGTAGGATGGAGGATGGAGGGGCGGGTGAAGCGGGAAGAGGGAAGATGGAAAGGGAGGGGGGACGGACCAGGGGACAGGAAATGGTTGCAGTATGGATCAGTCAGCGGTGTGAGGGGGGGTATGGGTGCTGTTGGAGGCTCTTGGAGGCCGTTGCACGTTTTCGAGCCTCCTGGATGCGATGGCCGTCCGAGGATCGAGCTTCGGGCTCGCTCCCGCGCCAGGAGTCGCAGGCGGCTGCCGCCGTGGGGGGGTCCAGGGGCAACGCTACCGCCGGGGCGCTGACCTGAGGAGCCCTCATGACGGATCGAGGCCCCTTCTTCCCACAAGTCAAAACCTTCGATTCCCCTTGGGAAACCTCAGGACAATCTGAGGCAAGCCGTACACCGATCGAGGGACACCGAGCCCCTCCCCGACGAAAAGGGTTCCTTCCCCAGCGCCCCGACTGCAGGGGGAGATGGGCTCCGAGGTTCGGGGTGCGAGGATCGGGGGCTCGTTCTCTGGAGGTTACCGGTCGCTCGCCCCGGTGCGCCCTCGTGGCCACGGCTGGATCCGCCTCGAGATCCCTGGCAGAGTGCACCCCCGGAGAGTTCCAGGCACGGGCGTTTGAACCCTGATCAGGGACAACGTTACGGTGGGGGCGCGCATCAAGAAACCATATGCTTTTCATCAGGGTACCCTGGGTTCCCTCGCTCCTCGCGCTGCGCGGTGACTGCCCTGTAATTTCCTCCCAGTCGCACCCCTCGCGCGGGTCTTCAGGGCTGTGTTTCTTGCGAGGGTTTCTTGCGACCGCGTCCGCACTGTAGGAGTGGGGAACCTCAGGAGGCTTCTGGAGGCCTCCAGAGGCTCGCGCTCTCGCCGGTTCTTCAAGGTTCTCCAGCCTCGGAGTGTTTTCCAGCAGCTGCGGCTCGCCGAGAGCGGTCTGGGCTTGCCTGGATCGTCCCGAGCGGCCGCTGGAGATTCGGGGTGGGGTATGACCCGAACAGCGGACGACACGGATCAGGGGCAACGTTAGGGGGGGCAGGCTCAGGGAGGGATGATACTTCGACCCCCCACCGCCCACTGATCGCCGGTATGGGCCCGATAGCCTAAGTTCGCCCTGGGGCGTGCGGTTTCGCGATCGGGGCCGATCGCCGATCTATCGGCGATGTGTCGCCGACTCCACGTCAGTGTTTCCGACCTCGGCTAGAAATCCTCGAACGGTGCCCCTCAGGGGGGAGGCAGTGCCAAGGATCGAGGTTCGGGCATTGAGGATGTTGTTCCCAGATCTCCGACGATGTGATTGTTCCAGCCCGAGCGTTCTGCCTCGATGTCGGCCTCTGGGGCCTGTTCTCGGGCCCCAGGGCCATCAATCATGCATCCTGGTTGTAGCCGTTTCTTATTAATTCACTTCGCTCATTCCGCCAGCCCATAATGAGTCCGTGTTGCTATATGTTGGCCTGCTCGTGTTGAGGAGAAGTAGTAGGAGTAGTAGGAGAAGCAGAAGTAGTAGTGGTAGTAGTAGTAGTAGTAGTAGTAGTAGTAGTAGTAGTGGTGGTAGTAGTAGTAGTAGTAGTAGAAGTAGTAGTAGTAGTAGCAGTAGTAGTAGTAGTAGTAGTGGTAGTAGTAGTAGTAGTAGTAGTAGTAGTAGTAGTGGTAGTAGTAGTAGTAGTAGTAGTAGTAGTCCTCGTAGTAGTAGTAGTAGTAGTAGTCGTAGTAGCAGTCGTAGTCGTAGTCGTAGCAGTAGTAGTAGTAGTAGTAGTAGTAGTAGTAGTAGGAGTAGGAGTAGGAGTAGCAGTAGGAGTAGTAGTAGTAGTAGTCGTCGTAGTAGTAGTAGTAGTAGTCGTAGTAGTAGTAGTAGCAGTAGTAGTAGTAGTCGTAGTAGTAGTAGTAGTAGTAGTAGTAGTAGTAGTATCTGTAGTAGTAGTAGTAAAGTAGTAGTAGTAGTAGGTAGTAGAGTAGTAAGTAATAGTAGTAGTAGTTGGTAGTAGTTGTCGTCGTAGTAGTAGTTAGTAGTGTGCTAGTAGTAGTTATTTAGTAGTAGTAGTAGTAGTAGTAGTAGTAGTA